TAAAAAAAAAATGCAACATTTCACTTGTCTCAAAACCAGATCTATTATACAAAAAGGGTTGGGAATAACTCTAAATCCTGAGCTTCTGTTTCTATAATCATTGGTTTTCTCCTGTAATGGTAAGAGTGGAATGCTCTCTAGAGTATTTCACAACAAGAGCCCATAAAGTAGTAGGAAGCTAATAGAAAACCTTCAGGAGATTAAGCTAGGTTCTCAGCACGTATAAACAGACATTGTGCCATTGCAGTGGGTTGATTCAGTTAATCTCCATGAAGTTTTTAGTAAAGTAAACCCAATATCCTCTCTGAGACAGTTCTTTTGTCCCTGTTCATATGGCAGGCTTCCAACATTGGCATATTCTAATGAGGGCAAAATTTGACAATGCCAGGGCAGAAGGGAAAGAAAAATGTGGTTGTATAGAATAGTTTAAAAATTAAGCAAAGACTATATAATATACCATTATAATATATCACTCAGACTGGCTGAGGTAGAAGGGGAACCTCTGAAGGTCATCTAGTCCAAACACCCCCTGCCCAAGCAAGGCCACCTAGAGCTGGTTGCCTAGGACTGTGTCCAGATGGCTTTTGAATATCTCCAGGGATAGAGATTTCACAACCTCCCTGGGCAACCTGTGCCATTGCTCAGTCAGCTGGGTGCCCCCAGCGTGCACTAGCGCATGGGATTGTTCCTTCCCAGGGGCAAGATTTTGCACTTCTCTTTGTTGAGCTTTGCAGAACATATAATAATAGAGGCCTGTGGAGGAGCCAAGTAAATAGGGAAGAGCACAAGCAGCAGGACCAGTGGGGTCACGACTGATAACCAAGAAGAAAGCTACAGCAGTGCTGACTAGTTGCAGTGTGAGGTAGGCAGAAAGCAAAATCTGTGAGGAGTGGATTGAAAAACCAAGGGGGAATGTGGATGGAGAGAGAGAGGAAATCCACTAAAAAAGAAACCTTAACAACATTTTCTGTCCAACTGACAAAAGCCAATTTTGAAATGAAGCAAAATACAGAGCTTTTGCCACTTAGTTTTCTAAGATGAGCAAGTGGAAAAGAACAAATTCAGAAACCATGCCACTAAATTTCAACATAACTGAAATCCTCCACAGCCTGAATCTACAAATTTGCTTCATCTTTAGACATAAATAAACATATTGGAGATAACAGTTATGTGTTACAGAATCTCATGCCTGGATGAGTAATTCAGAGTCAGAAGCATTTTTTAAATGTAATCCACAGCACTGCACCACCAAGATCACCAAAAAGTCTCTACCTTCTAGTGATCACAGTATACTGCAGATTCAGTGGGTATATTGGGCAGTCAGACAAAGCATTTCAATGCAGTGGTGCATTTTCAATGCACAATTGTTTTTTGTTTAAATGAAGGGCTTGAGTTCAGAGTAAGAAAATCCACTTCGCAGTTTATACTCTTTTATATTAATTTAGCCTCCCAAGTTACACTGCATCTTCAAAATTTTCACTTCTAACAAATACTCCACATATATCTTTAAAGTTACAAAAATAACATATGTAAATACATACACACTAATCTCTGTACTGAATTAACATCAAATTAAAAGGGCAACTGAGAGAGAATATAGCTCTTCATTATCAGAGTCTCAAAATGGTGCCTAGACTGGACACTCCAGCATGAGGAAAAAAAAGTTGAAAGCCAAGTTCAAGACCTAAGTTTAAATGATATAAGAAGCAGTGACATTAAGTTTCACTTTACCTTTAAGGAAACAATTAAAAATACTTCAGTTTTGCCACTGAGTATGACAGTAATCATGGATCTGCCTTAAAAACTATTGGACTGGTCTGTGCTGTCTTTAGTCTACAGACAATGGAACACTATTTTTCTCTGACATTTCAAAAATTGAAAAAGGTTAAAACTTTTTAACAGAATTTGATCAGAACATTAGAGTCAAGGATGAAAGAAAATAAGAAGTGACAGAGTGGACTGAAGCTACCTGCCAAAATCTGTGGAGTTTTAAACTATTTCAGAAGAAACAAGCAAAATAAGTCCTTTCTGTTTTAATCAGTTTATGAGTTTATGAGTTGCCTTAAAGAGTGACTTGTATTTTTACACCAAAGGCCTCTTTTGTCTTCAGAGTTATTGCAGGTCTGGAGCCAGCCTGTGTGCTTGCAAATCTTTCCTCTAGCTAGAGGAAAGAAAGAGGAGACATTGCCAGAATGAGCCCACTAGCCCCAAAGAAAGAATCCAGCACTATCAAAGCAATTGCAGCCCTTCGTTCATGCTGCTTTGTTTCTCTCAGTGCAGGATATAAAAGCATCTTTGGCTGTATGTTTTGATAACAGAAATGAGTACCTTGTCATGTTTTAAATCAGCAGCTGAAAGACTTCTTAAGTGAACGTGACAGTATTTGAAATGTCCTACGCTGCCATACTTAAGATATGCCAATCACAATTAATAGCACAGATTTGCTATTCCAAAACAAATAAAACCTGCAGTTTTTCTGCTGAATGAAGAGCTGATGAGTGAAAATAGAAGCACAATTACCACAATAGCCAGTTAGCCTGTCAATGGAAATTACTTTCATTTGTCTGTATTCACAAGGGTTAGTAAACAATAACGTTTCAGCTAATACAGTTTTTGTTATATTCAAATTGAATATGAAGTACAGGCTGACATTATAAATGGATTTCTTACTCTTTTGCACTGGATTTTTGAGGTTCTCTGAGTCTTTTGGTTTAAATTAATCTGTAAGTTTCATATATTTTGGTATCAACCCTATTAAATCTGTGTAATTTTTCCTTCTAGCAAATTAAGGACTGTCCTCTTGTTGTTTGAATGAGAGATGTATCAGTAGCTTCCCCTCACTCAGTAGGAACCAAACGAACATTTTATATTATTCTAGTGGATTCTAAAGAGTTGTGCTGAAAATCCACTTAGTAGGGTGGTAAGATCTATCTCTCTGTAAATTAGTACCTCTCACATTTCAAGTTCTATGAATTTATTTTTCTTAAGTCCTGCAACAGTTCTGGTACTCCCACTGGCAGGTTTTACTAATACCAGGTTTTACCTCATGACCTCTTTTTAGCATGGGGAGTGGACACAAAGCCTCTTGAGCAAATTCTTTTTCTTTACTTTTTCCAGTAAATTCTGCTGTTTTGTCATCTAGTCCTACTTCTTTTAATCTAATTTCTTCCTCATCTTCATGTTTAATTCAAGGCTTCCTTCTAAGCTCTCCTCCAGAACTCATTTTCACTTACTGATCAGAAAAACTTCTTTGTAAGTTAACTGAGCATCTATTGAAGGACTCCCTTGTAGGCTACTACTCTGGACCTATGACTTTGGAAATGTCAAGACATCAGGCAATACAGGCTTACCTGAAGAGATATCAGGCAAACAATTTGGATAATAATTCTTGAGATTGAAGTGTGCAATTAAGCTAGCTTTACCTCCTTTAAACCTTTACTGGGCAGCCTCCTATAAAGCTTTGAAGGACTAATGATGTTGGGAGTACAGCAGGGATGCTAAGGCTAATACCAAGAAATAAACCTATGTAAAATTACTTGCATTAATGCAGTAAAGAAACTAATTCACAAGTTTTAACCTAACAGGCAGACAGATATAATGAGTCTAGTTCTGTAATGGACCAACTGCTCTCTCGCAGTTGGATTCCCTAAACAGTTACACTGGAATATTTTGGACAAAGAAAACTTTATAAACCCACCCACGTACGTTGAAAAAAACTTCTGTAGTTCTCAGCTGGCTATGAAGTCTGTGGTTTTCTTTAAAAAAAAATCCACAGCAAACATAAAACAATCCCTTCAGCTTTCCTCAGCTGGCCATCACTGCTCAATGCAAATGATAATTTTAAAAGTAATGTCTCTAGGTCTCTATGTTCAAAATCATACCTCTTGTGGAAATTATCAACTTCAACTTTTCTTCTCTTTTGGATAGTGGTGTTAATTTAGCTTTTTTTTTTTTCCTTCTAGGAGTTTCATACTTGATTTTCATGCATACCTTTAGCTTTTATTGATGTAATCTGATTGATTTTAACAGGGCATAACATAATTTCTAAGTTACATGTTGCCAGTGTTACATAAATATGATGCTTTTACCTACAGTGTTCATCCAAATGCATGTTAAAATGTAAAAAACTATCTGGGATTTTTGAGGTTGCAGTGGCCATGGCTCTTTGCAGAGCAGATGCTCTGTGCAATTACAAATAGGTGTACCTGCAGTGCCAGTAGTGACTAACGAACCATTACATGGATATGCCAGAAGGTATTCATTCTGTTTTGTTAAGTGTTATTATCTAAATCTTATTTGTTCTCATATGAAGCTGTGTTTTCTTATTCTACTTTGCATTACAACCCTAATTTGCAGAACAGAATTTTAAGTAGTATATAGCAAGCCAAGATCTGTAGTCCCTGATGTCTTTAGGATGCATGGTTAAAGCTCTGCCAGAAGAGGTAGATTGTGAAGGACTTGGGGTTATAAACAGAATTGGGGAATAGCCTGGGCTACACCAGATGCTAGAGGGGATTGAGAAAGCATTCAGGAAGGCCAGAAGTTGAGTCTAAACACTATGTAGGAAAATTGAGATAAATCAGATGAGGGAGGAAAGAATATCAGATACAATAAAACAGCTTAGTACTGATGACTAGTCAACTTAATTCAAAACCTAAATCCCAATATTTTCTGTCTGACTGCCTAAGAACATAGCACTCACACTAACTATGAATAATTGTCTAGAAGATTATGAGAAATACTTTTTTTTCCAGAGAAAAATTATCTTTCCTTATTTTGACAACTACAAATCAAAACAAGCTAGCCTGTAGGGCTCTGAACTTCTCACGGTTCCCACACTGGGCAGCCAAATGTATTAGAAACCTTATAGCACAAGGCTTTCCAGTGCTTCCAGTCCCTCATGGGCTGTGGGAGGGAGGCAGCAAAGAGGAAGGTCTCTATAGCAACAGGAGGGATACATAGATTTTCTCTTGGAGGAACAGTCTCCCTCTGCCTCTTACCTTGTTGCACAAAGGATCCATACACAAACCACATGGAGTTGTAGAGGGTTGTGGAGGTCATGGAGCCCATCTGAAGGCGCGGAGGGTTGAGCCAGTTCAAGAGGTAGACCAGTAGCCCTACTAACAGCACAGTGCCAGCTATGCATGCCCACAGGGAGAGGTCAAATGGTGCCAAGCAGGCAAACATGTCCACTGTCTTCTCTGCCTTTCGAAGTAGCACACCCACTGAGTAGTCCATGTAACGAGTTGTGAAGTCCACTACATTTTCCCTGTCAGGGGTGATGGTTAGGGCAGAGATGCCTATATCAGCTCTCTGAGGAAAGAAGGAGAAAGTACAACATGCATAAGTAGGAGCTACAGGAAAGATCTTTGTTCCTCTGTGATTTATGGCAGCTAAACTTATGAAGGAACAGATGCCAAGGCCAATGTCTTAAGCATCAAATATGTGAACACAGAAACACAGAACACAGAGATGTGACTAACGCTTGAACAGAATAGTGTAGCACATGTCATAGTTTCTGTAAGCAAACATCACTTGGTGGACTCGGGCACATTTGCTCTCTACATTGTTATTTTCTAAGGAATCAAAATACTTCAAATACAATTAATAGCTGGAGGAAATCTACTTCTGGTCATTCTTCTCAGCCTAGTTACTGAAGCCATTATTGTCACTGCGGCAAAAGGCAGACCTTGTGTATAGCATTTCCAGTCAGAAGAAATTAGCTGCCTGACAGAGCCACACGATATCCAACATTTTGATGATATGATGATCATGATAAAGAGCATCTCATATATCCTGGGATTTTGGGGGCATTTGAAATTTTGAAAAACATCAAATTTTGCCTGCAGAGTCTGAAGTGCAGAGCAGATATTCCATGCAGTTCCTTTACTATTTATTCCTCTACATCCTCCTGCTAAGCAACCTCTTTCTATGCCAACCTGTCCTGTAGCTACCTTGGACTTGCTTTGTGCCATTTACATTTTTTTGTAATTTAAGAACCCATTTCAGATGAGAAGAGGATAAATAACATGCCTTGATCTAATAATTGTATTTCACAGCATATCTGGGTGTTGGGTCTCGAGAGACACCAGGCACGACTACAGCAGGTGCTACTTTATTTTTTACATGTACAATTAGAACTGCAGTGAGAACAAGAAAGGGTATTTAAAGCAAACACATTAACACCATTTTAAAAACCTCAAATACTGAACAAGAAGGCTATAAATTCTAGATATTTTAATATGAAAAAGAGTACTTAAAATACTTTAAGCTTCTAGTAGTTTGATTTAATCCATTTCTGTTCTGCCTAAAGTAGTGTGTGGTCCTTTGGAAGGGGGTGATGAGAGCACAAAGGTTTGGAAATTTCAGTACTGTGTCAAATTTTATTAACTCTCTTGAATTTCTTTCTTCTTGCCCAAAGAAGGCAGAGATTACTAGCTTCTTAGAAAAGTAACGTGAAATATTAAGTGAGAAGGTATGGCAAGTGAAACTGATTAGAATAAAATTTGCAAATCATATGGGCTCTTTTAATACCAGCTACAAACCACTTGGCAGCTCATGGTACAAACATACTTTTAATCACAGTGAACTTAAGGCTTCGGTTTAAATCATGTTACTTTAACTTTATATTAATTTTTCACTGGCTTGAGAAACTGGTGGAAGATAGCTAGAGGCTGATGATATGGACAAAAAAGTATTTGAAAATATTGATTTGCTTAAAAGCCATGAATTAGAGCTTCAGCTTTAATTTATGGGTTAGATTCTCTAGAGTCTTAAGTGAAGCTGTGTTGATACACACAGCTGAAAGCATGGCTTCATGAATTCACTTCATGTCCCTTCCTAACAATTTTTTGTGACTGATGATTTAACTGCCCATGGGCAGCAGCAAACTCAGTCAGTAATCCAAGTAAAAATTTCATCAAAATTGTCCATGGAAACATTCAGATCATCTGAGTATCTGTCCTCTGATTATAAAACTTATGGTCCACAAGTGACTTGAGTGATTCACAGTATCTGGTAACGGTTATGCCCTAGCTCCAGTGAGCAAGTTGCAAAGTGGGCATCATTTGAACTGTTTTCCACAACTGTGAAAATAAATGTATTTTAAAAATAATTTACAAATGTAGAAGTCCAGTGCTCTATACCAATAGTTGTCAAACAGGAAAATATGGTTATATTTAATGAGTAAGGGTTGTTTTGGGTTTTTTTTCCTGAACATATATCAAAAAGTGAAAGAGGAATTCAGGGTTTAAAGAGGACACATGGAAACAAAAAGTCCTAGACTTAGCCCCTATTGTTTACCTTTAGCTGTGTAATTATCAGTATGTTACTAAAATAATTCCTGACCACACTAGACTATTGTGAGGTGGTAATTCAAGCTTTATTTGTAAGATGTTTAAAGTTTCTCCACTGAAAAGCAATATACATAAGTAAAGATATTTTTACCAAATGATAGATTACTGTAGGAATCAATGATTAATACATTTTTTTTGCCTTCTCCCTGCCTTTTTATAAAGAGAATCCTATTTCTCCATTAAATACATTGAAGGGCATTGTATCAAAAAGCACAGTATGTGATATTTGTGGAAATATTGCTTCTATGCTACATCTCTGGGGAGCAGTCTTTCCAAATTCCACAGTATTATGGTTCCACTCTGGTTATCAGCCTCTACGATAGAAGAAGAACATTGTTCTAAGTGAAAAGTTGCATTCTTTTTGCCATACTGTAGCAGCAACTGTGATATAATTATGTCTTGCAATTAAAGAGTGATAGTAAAATAAAAAATAGAAAGGAGAGAGAGAAGTCCTGGCTTCTCAGTACTGTGACATTACATTGGAATATTACAACTTATATTCTTAACTTACTAAATTGAATCATAAACACAGTTTACCAGAAAACTATGTGTTTAGCACAAAACCAAGCTTAAGCTTAACTTAATAGTTAATCTACTGATGGTGAGCATTCTTAATTACATATAGATTCTGTCAACTTGTATCAAAATTGGAAGATGAAAAAAATGAAATGCTTGTCATTAACATGTCAAATTGGATCAGAGAAGACATCAGTTTGAAGAAATCAAGGTTCACTTAATGCTTCTGAGATAGAAAAGCAGATGCATGCAATTATGTCAATATTTAGATGTAAAGCTGCCAATCTGATTTATAAACATGTAAAACCCTCCACTCACTAAGTTTTTTCAGTGCCAAAATCAACCAACTATCACTGTCTTAGATGTCTTTTTAACATATCTGTGATGAATGAAACTGACTCCTGAAACTGACTGACTGAAAAAAACAGCAGAGGGCATTATTTTTCTTTACATGACCTACATAGGAATTAATATTCCTTAACAGTAGTTCTCCTGAGGTCATCGTAGTCATTACCAGAATCAGAAAATCCAAAATAAATGACCAAATTGGTCTGACAGCTTTGTTACTGGTGTCACAGAACCATCAACAAAGCCTAGAAATCCCTGAAATGCCCCTATGCTTTTGCTGAAGCAAACACATCTTGTCCACATAGAAAACAATCATCTTACGATGATTCCTGTGGTTCATGATCAAGAACAGGGAAAATAAATGAATCGACTTTAAATTTCTTCCTTGAGTCCTTTCATTTTATCCATTTTCAATGTTAAATCAAGTTTCAACGAATGCTAGAAACAATAAACTACAGTCCCACTTGCTACACAGTTATTAATATGGACATGCAAAAATTAATCAGAGAGACATTTTTGCTCAAGTTACCACACTGACATCCAAATAATTGTTCTTTTACACCGCTATTCTTTTTCTTTCCCCCCCCCCCCCCCCACAACTTTGTCCTCCCTTGTATGCTTTCTTCCTTCCTATGCTACTCCCCTTAGGAAGATGCATTAAAAAACCAGTCTGATAAGAGGCTTCTACTTGGCTTGCAGTTTCTCTTAGAAATGTTTAGGCATATATTTAGTTTTCCTTTTCTAATGGACCTAAGTGAAATCAGACAGTTTTCCCTATGCTATTTGCCTCCTCATGGCTCCTCATTAGAAAAAAATCCTAGCAATCAAGTTAGTAGGGTGAAATGTTGATAATAATGGTTGAAGGATGTGAATACTGCCAGGAAGTCCAGAGCAGTGCTGGAAAGCCTACTGTCCTCTCCCAGAAGTGGCATTAACCTATCACACATGCTCATCCCTCTAGTAATGTGGACTTGGGGGCAACTAAACAAAGCACTGTGAAAAGACATAGATAACTGATAGCAAGAGAAAGATTTGTGGTAAAGTGCTGCTCCTCTGAGGTAGTTTTAGCCTCTCCACAGAAAGCCCAGGTCATTTGACATGAGAGGAGTGAGAGCAACATGTGCCCATATCAAAGAATATTTATCCTCCGTAGTCCTTCTGGTTCAGGTGCTCAGCAAACAGAAAAGTTTCCATAGCATGGTTACGTTCAGTTTATTTTGACAGGAGAAAGTGTTTGGAGCAAGGGTATACCTAATATAGGTCTTGATAATCAAAGGAGGGGAGGCTTGAATCTGTTTCCAAATTCCAATTAAAGACTAGTTGCTTTGATCTGCTGATTCCAGCTCCTATTTTAGCAGTCAGAAGGGACCTTGTCTCAAAGCTGGAACAGGGTGAACTTGGCATAGTCTCATGTCTTTGAGGCCAGCTGCGGACCTAGGGCATGTACTTGGCACCGCAGGGCTTCTGCTCTGCCCTGAAGCTCAGGCGGGGTTGCTGTAAATGACAGAAGCCTGGCACTGCTCTCCCTGCATCAGAACCTGCCACACCCTGAACCAGCTTAATGCAAAAAGAATATATTGATCTTGAACACCAAAATTATGTGCTTGCTGCAGCAACTGCTATTTCATATGGCACATCTGTAGTGGCCCCAGACACCCTTCTCAATGAGATGTACTCAAAAAGAGAAGGCAGCTATTTTCCATTATCCTTGAATGGGACTTGCCTTTTGCAGAAATACATTGTTCCCAACTCATTTTTGGCTCATGCACTAACAAGCAAAGAGCACTCCCTGTTTCTGGATTTCCTCCACATGTTGGCCAGACTATCATGTAAGACTTGGTTGGGAAAACAAGGAAACACTTTGTTTTAAACAGGTTAGACCTTCAATTTAAAACTATTCTCTGCTCCTTTGCTTCCCCTTACAAAGTTGCCAAGCAGATAGATATTTGAGTTCTGGAAGCAGAACTCAGTTCACAGTGAATAAGCAGCCTTTCAAGAACAGCTTGCACTTGGGAAGGGGTAGATACACACTGGCTGCTTGCCCAGAGTTTCTCTTTTACCTGAAGAGGGACAGAGAATGGGAGAGAAGGACACAGTGAAACTTTACTGTTAATTATAGAAGGGGTAAGGAAGGTAAAAAATCATACTCTGCCATAATATGGGGAAAACATGTTTTCTGAATTCCAAATGCAGTTCCATTAACTCTTTACACTTTCTAACTGTACAGAAAGATTTCATATCCATTAAAACTCATTTACAGCAAAACTGTAGCAGACTGGTAAATCTGTTGCATCTTGTATTAACAGAACTAGGTGGTTATCACCTTAAGAGTATTACTGTAGTTCTATGAGTCCCTACCTACAAAGGGGACAAGAATGACATACATATTTTTCAGTGAACCATTTGATCTCAGTTGTTATGAGTTCTACCTTAAAAATCATTCATTTCAAATAAACAAAAAATGTTCTGGACCCACTTCTGTCTCCAAAGCCATCTAGGACTAAGACCCCTCCAAGCCTGAGTTAACGCAGTGGCCTGCTGAGTCCTTTGCTGAGTACAGTGCTGAGTACGGCATAGCATAACACCAAATGTAAGGAACAGAAAAATGATAAAAATAAATCAGCAGGCCACTGTGGTTTTATGTCTCATAATTAGATGAGGGATTTTTAGCTGTTAAAGTTTAGAAGATGAAGGAAAATACACTTTTCTAAGTGGCTCCAACTTACCATCTATGATCACAGCATTCCACCTTCCAGCTTCATAAGGGCATAGGGACATGTCAAAGGAAGTTTATTACTACAGTGTAGATGTATGAATCCTGCCACAGGTATGGCATGTGTAATTGTTTCCATCCCAACAGGCTTCCTACTGCTCAAGAAGGTAGAATAGGCTAAAGCTATCACTATTTTTTTCATAAACAACTAGTTAGTTATTTACATGAATATCTGCTGCAGTTATTTAAGGAAAAACAACAAATGTAGGTGCTCTCTATAGCTGTAAAAGCTGCCTCTACAGGTTAACTAAGAGCAAATAAAATATGTATGTTCATGCCACAATGAGACATCAGCAGAATAAAGTCTGCATAGCTCTGTCTTTCTTAATGGGAGAAGCTGCAAACAGACAAGATGTGAAGTGCAAGGGAAAAAAAGAAAAATATGGCACATTTATTTAGTTTAATTTATTTATGATACAATATTGAATATTTAATGAAAAATTAAGTAGGCTAAATGGGTTTATTAATTACAGAATAGAGAACATAGTACTCTTGGTTCATATATTTACATAATGTAAGAGTTATTATATATCAATAAAACATTTTCTGTTGATTATATACTTCATGCATTCATCACACCAACATTTTTCTAAGTGCTATACATTATTTATGTAATGTACCACTAATTACTGCAACACCAATTTTTCCTCTTTTGAACAACCTCTTCAACTCGTTTGTGTCAGGTCTTGCCAAACTAATTAGGATGCTGTGCATCCCATTATTTGGTTGTATTCAGATTTCACACTGCTGTACTTTGGTTGGAAAAAAGAGATTGCCTTGCTCCTTAAATAGGTACCAGTAAGCACTATTTCTAGCTTTTTCTTTACCACCCAATGCATGTGGGCACTCTATCAAATGCTGGCAACACAGGCAATGAACAAAATGCTATCACTGACTCATTAAAAAGGTTTACTGGTTGATGCAAACATAATATACCATGTATCACTTAGCTTTATCACATGATCTTATTTAGTGAGTTACTAATAACCCTTACCTTAAATACCAGTTCTCCTATCAGTCCGTTCCATGACCCATCATCCTGAGGACTCCCATACTTGTGATCTGGTGCAACATAAATTTCATATTTAAAGCCGAGGTAAGTAGCCAATGCTTCCAAAACATCTATTGAGAAGCCCTGATACTTCTTCGGTTTTCCCAGAACATTTTCAGACACCATGACAAAAGGCTCTTCCTGAATAGAAAGCAAAGGAGTCAACTGTTAGTAAAGTAATTTCATGCCACATTTGGGTGCTGTAAAAAGCAAATGTGCTTTTTACAGCACCCAAGTAAAGGAGTAAAAAAGTAAAGGAGGGACTATTTAAATACTGTTTATACAAAACTTTCCTACAACACATTGTTAGCGGTGCCTCTTGCATTCTGCAAAATGCTATTTCATTATGTGTTTACTTCAACAGATAAATTTTCTTCTCTACTATGTATTTCAGAAGTAAATCTTCCATTGTAAAATTACAAATGAAATTTTTGCAGTAATGCCTTCTGACTGGTCTTATGCTTGGCAGGCAGACATATACTCATATGTCTGTCCATAAATACAGAAGATTCTTCAGCGCTGACAGTTTTCACTGGCTGGGCAAACGCTGTATCTGACAAACGCAACTACTAATTCATGCTGTAAGGAATGAAAAACATGGCAAAATAAGCCATACCACAGAAACATGCTACATTTCTTCCTTTTATTTCTTTACTGGTGCTGTAATTTAATAAGAGTCCATCAGAAACATCTATTCTGCAGTGCAAAAAGTTAGTTATGACTTGCTATGGCTTGCCCATGAGAAGCACATGAAACCATTTCCTGACCACTTCCTCCTAGTCTGCATAATCCACAGGCATTCAGAAGAAAACAGAATTGGTTTCCATAGTACTTGTGGCCCAAACTTTAATTGTATCTCCAGAGGTGTTTTTGTCGGCGTTTAAATGATTTTTTTTTTCTTTATTACTCTACTACTCTGTCAGTGACTTTAAAGCCAATGTACTTCTCACAACTTTTTTCGCTAATACTTCACTAAATATTTTTAGTTTCTTAGTATGTCACTCTCTATAAAGAGATATCACTCAACTGCAGGCAGGATGTTCTCAGAATAAGAAAGTATCATTTATAAATGCTGGAGTTCATATTCATTAGGATACCCACATGTTGAGCACGCTGCCAAAGAAGCAAGGACGCAGCCAGACTGGCTTGCAGGATGTTCTTCTCTGATTGTAGGAAATCCAGAAGAAAAACCCAAACCCACAAAACCCAAACAAACCCCCAAACTAATCAAACAAACAAACAAAAAACCAGGAAAAAAACAACCAGAAAGGATTGTAGGAAATCCAGAAGAAAAACCCAAACAAACCCCCAAACTAATCAATCAAACAAACAAAAAACCAGGAAAAAAAACAACCAGAAAACTTGACTGTTTGAAGTTATTATTTTCCAGTTGTTAGACAGAATTTCTTTCCTCCAAATTTTTCAAGATTAGCCAAATGGAATAAAAATGGAGGACAGCAAGTGAAAGTGAATTTTCAAAGTAGTTCTCCAGCACTTGGGTTCCAAGAACATTGAAGGAATTGAGACTAAGTTGATGAAAGTCTCTCCCAAATGAGAACACAGAGTGAATTCAGCTTTGTTGATCACTTGGATGAGAGATTCTTTTTTTCACACAGTCTCAAAACGGCTTGAAAAAAATGTTTCCACAAAAAAATAAATGTAATTTATCAATCTAAGCACATTATGCATAAAATTCTAATGATTATGTGTACAAAGGGTTTTTTAGAAGTTGGTAATTTTCATATTAGAAAGGATTTTTTCTTATAACTTCTAAGTTATTAGAAAATAGTTACTCATAAACTGAATTTTTATTCAGTTAGTTAAAAAGCAATTACTAATTGTACTGATCTAAAACACTGTTTAAAATGCAGTTTATCATGACTTATTTCAGTCTTTTATTAAGCTACGTAATGTTATTTGCTGTTGAGAGATTTACAAAACAACCCAATGTCCAGTGTGCTATACATTTAATGAAATATAAATAATCAAATAGTTTTATGCAAAGCATCTAACACTTCCCAATTTCTGTTGAAGCCTGGAGCAACAAATTTTTTAATCATATTCCAAACAAAACAAACCAAATCTATAGCTATTTCTCAGAGGCATTGAAAGAGGACAAAAATATTTTTCTTGATTTTTCTCCCCATAAATGCTGTGAGCTGAAACTATGCCAGTTGTCTTTTTGTACTCTGGGACGGTGTTATAGCAGCTCCTATATAAAGAGATATATATCCCTACATTATTGATGTTAAAATGATTGTCTCCATCCTTGAGAAAGTGGATCTTCTAGAAAGAAAATACATAAAACAAAAACAGCCAATACATTTCTCAACTACCGAACAAAAACATAATGAGAACCAAGGACAAGCTTGTAGAGAGTAGGTGTCAAAAATTCACAAGGTAACTAATGAGTCTGGAGGTGGCAAAATTCAACTGGATGATGAAGCTTCCATTCAACCACAACCTGATACACTTGCTCTCCAAAACAAGTGGTAATTCAGACTATATAAAGCAGGTCTTTCTCAGAGAAGCCTCACAATTGCCATCTTCAGTGATACTCAAAACTCACCTGGACAGTCCTCAACAACCTGCTCTAACATTAGCCCTGCTTCACACAGATGTCATCCAAGGGTCCCTTCAAAGCTAAATTGTTCCAGAATGCACTGAAGTGATCAAAAGATGGCCACTGTTCCTCTCTAGGGGACTGATGAGCCTTTGTAGGGCAAGAGCAGACTTCACAGCCTGTAAAGTCAGGAAAGTCTGGAAAAGCAAAGAGGTCACAATATGTATGACTGAGGAGGGGAAAACCAAGAAAATAAATTAATTGCTCCCCCTTAATTTATTGTTTTTGCAAGATGGATTATTTGCCTCAATGGGCCCCATAACCATCAGATATATTTAGGGGATGGCTTTGCAACCAACCTCAACTGAGATTCTTTAAAAGATGAGCTACTTTCCTACTTTACCCTCAATGTGCCTCCTTGTCAACTGAATGCAGCATTACTAAGCCCATGTAAGGGCTCCTTCTCCAAATAACTCCATTGTTATCACTGTCTGGTTTCTTCTTGGGTTGTAAGCTGTGCTGCCCTGATACAGAAGAGGATGTGTTTAAGACTCAGTGTGAATCAAATGATTTTACATAGTGTTGTGGGTTAACTCTGGTGGACAGCTAAGCACCACAAAGCCAATACAATCTGCAGCAAAATGAAAGTCAGCAGTAAACAGGTAAAATTTATATTGGGTGAAACTGTGCATATTGTTTTTTACAACCGTAAGAAGGTAAAGTCTGGTTCCAGAGATTATTACACCCTGAGCAAGAGAAGCTGCAAAACTCTAACAGACTAGCTCATCTTAGGAAGCCTAAATACAGACCCCAAATTAAGGCAAAATGGCACAAAAAAAGAGAAAGTGTTGGGAAAGATGACATGATAGTACAAGTACATTGGAGAAGCAGCTCACAAAAACACTCATCTCCATTCATTTACCTATTATCACTAGGTTTATAAAAGTTTTCAACAACGAAGCTATGCATTAAGACTGACATGAGTTAATAATATGCTACATAGTAATGCTGATATAGTTAAACATCCTCCTCCCACCAGAGCAACTAGCTACCTTCTCATGCAATAGCTCTGGTGATGCTTGCTTCCTTTATTAAAGTAATTCTACTACTAAGCCATCACAACTCTACTAAATTTTTGTCAGGTGAGTTGATCTGATTGCCAGGAGTGCAGACAAATGCCAGAGCCAGGACAAGTGATGGAGTAAGACTGTACAAACAGAAGTGAGGAAGTACCAAGAATGTGCCCTTTTTGGTATCAGGAGAACAGATGAAGCAGCTCAGACATCTTACCCAAAACCATCTTCAGATGTGCAACACAAAATTATTTGAGCACATTTCACAAATTAGGGTTTGTCACAGAAATATTTGGTTGAGTAAGAAGAGTTACCATCACTATTTTCCACATGCAGAACTGAAACACACAGATTTCATGACTTGTACACCTGAGAAGTGAATCCAAGTGTGCTGGGTGTGGTGGGTTGACCCTGGCTAGAGG